TAACGTAACGCTTGCGGCACCGTGTGTACTCTAGGGCTGCTCGAATATGGCAAAAATCATAATCTCGATTATTTGGGTCAATAATTGATATCACGATAATTAAAAATGATTATCCATTTACTTTGAAAACATCCATTTATTGAAAAACAAAATGTGAACAATATGTTTTTAACAGTTGATTACCTTGAACTTTAAGTATAATTAAACTGAAAAACGAATAAAAAAAATTAATAAAAAAAAAATCGTTTTATTTTGATTATGTTGTTTTCATAATCGTTGCAAGCCAAAATCGTAATTGCGATTAAAATATTATTAATTGAGCAGCCCTATATACTTCACATTCAAAACTAACATTTGACTATCTTTGATCATCACTTGAGAAGTGAAGACAAACATCTTATTGGCACACAGTCAGAAGCTATTTCAAATGTGTATCCTGATGATAGTTTTAGACAGTAAAACAAGCTCATGGCATATGAAGCAACTGTCCTGCGTTGCTGCTGACAGTGTTGATCTCACAGGACGGCAGTGAAGGCTGGGCTGCCAGGAGCTGGTCATTTTGCAGACTGTGCTAGGTTTAAACCATGCGCTCTTACAGCTGCTCTGACCTCACTGATGCTATTTCACTCCATTACATTGCCCCTTGTTTTTCCATCTCAGGTCACCTTACAAGTTTAGAGTTAGATGACTGTGACATAAGACTTTGTTTGTAAAGTTGTATAGTCTCATGTTATTGTGCGCTTCATTGGACAATATCAGTTGCGCATTTCATGATTGAAATCATCAGCATTTAGAGCACAGACCTGGTCAGCCCAATCTTTCCTGCCACATCACTCTCATAATGGAACCCGGGAGGCATTCTAGAAATGTAGGCTACAAAACCCTCTTTCATGGAAAGCAAATAATCCTGGAGGATTAAACCAAAAGGTACAGATAATGAACTAATGCTATGATAAAAAGAAAAGAAGACAACTGTAAACAGGTTATGTGGCAACTAGGCAACAATGTCTTAGTAGTACTGAAGTAATAGCGATTATGTCCACTCCTGTAGTGTGTACTGTTCAGGAGTGACTTTTTCTGAATGAAATCAGTGTCTCCACGTTGCTTCAACAAAGACTCATGTGACCCACAATAGAACAGAGGAACACCTTTTTATAGCAGACTTGCATCATCACCGCCGGGACACCTGCTCAATTTATAGAAGATTATATAAAAGCACGGCTCTCAGCTGGTTTTGACATTGTGTGAATGAGTGTGTGAATGAGTGTGCGTGTGCGTGTGCGTGTGCGTGTGTGTGTGTGTGTGTGTGTGTGTGGCACTGTTGGTTTACAGTAGGTGTAAAGTAAGTAATTTCCTCTTGGATGGTTATTTATTTATAGTGTGTTTAAACAGTTGGTAAAATGTGTGGGATTATTCTTGTAAAGTGGGAAACACCTGCCAGACGGTGAGTTAAACATTTGTGTCTCCCTCTTCCACAGGAAACGGAAAACATCATCACGGCTTCTGTACACAGCAGCATCCAGCTTCATCCTTTATGGCTTCATCATAGGAAAGTGATCTTCACTATGTCTGACATCATGCCACGTCCAGAGCTCATTCAAACAATGGCTGCCAAACAAGTCAAGGTATCCAGGTCTTATCATTATTTTAAAATGTGATACTAAATCAACACAAACTTCCAATAAAAGGAGTACAGAATTTAAGTAGAAAGACAAACAGCTATTATTTTGTTAAACAATTGTAAAAAGTGACCATCCCAGTTTCCAAGGTGATGTTTTGTCCAACGAAGACATCCGGAGATATTCAGTTAAATATGACACAAAACAGAGATAAAGGACATCTCTACATATTTGAGAGGTCATTTTCATAGCTAGAATTCATCTCTGCACTAAAAGCATGACTACCTGGAACAATTTATTTCTAAAATGTTAAAAGATCAAATATCACAAGTCTCATTTGGATGATATTTTAACTTAAATAAAAGATAAGACTTCAGTGGTTTCCATCGTTTTGTCCTGCAGAGCTACTTGTTGCATGCTACTAGACATCATTTGTGTGTGTTGAGTGTGAGAAGAGGCCAGAAGATGGTTTCTTATTGTCTCATCTTTTTCCCAGCAGTGGGGGAGGTTTCCTAGGACACGGCTGCTGTGTGAATGGAGAACAATTCCTTGCTATCCTTCGCCCCAACCCCCCTCCCTTCCCACTTCCTCTTGAGTCTTTCATCAACATCCCCTCTTCTCCCCTGCTGCAGTAGTAACTGGTGTTTGGGGGTTCAGAGGAAGCCGGGTGGGGGAGAAGCGCGGCAAATCATTTGCAGTCTACCTGTGGAAGCTGCGTAGAGCTCCAATGTTGAGGAGGCTCTGAATGTGGCAGTCGCAGCTATGCGGGGAATGTGAGCCTCTGCTCTGCCAGGGCTGGACCGGAGAAGCCCACAACTCTATTTAAGGAAATGGCAGTCAGGGGCCCAATTGCCGCTCTCTCTCTGCCTCCAATTCTCTGTCCGTCTCTCGCACAGTTTAAAGCCCCCCCTTCCTTCTTTTTACAAGAATGATAATTATTTTCCTTTGTGGAAGAAAGGTTTATTTACGTACCTGCTGGGAAAAAGGAGAACACACACAAAAAGAAAAGTATGTGAAAACATCACTCACACACACACACACGCATGCACACACGCAGCAGTGTATTGATGGTGTGGTTTAGGTACCGTAATTGTTTCCAGTACATTTGCAAACTTAATAAGGATGTGTCTTTGTGAACTACTTAAGGCTGCGGTCTGCCAAACAACAAAAACAACAACGAGCCTGATAAACAGAGGAAAATAATGAAAGACGGAAAGGGTTTCAGTCTACCTGGAAAAAGGAAATAGTCGGTATTCAGGTCTCTTTTACTGCAAAGTGCTTATGGTCAAACACGAGCATAAAAATGGTCATTAATGCAGCAATGCCCTGGCCTTTATACCAACCAAATGTAATAAAGTGCTATCACACTAAGGCATCATATCAGGGTTACATCAAAATGTGCCATCTCAACATTTAATAATAAGGATACTATGAATGTTTCAAACCATTATTCGATTCATTTATTCATACCATTGATTAGAATTACCCTGCATTAGAGAGCCGAGAGATATACTTCATTAGAAAAGTTGTTAACTTTCTTTCAAACGATGGTGTAAATGCTGTTGCAATAGCATACATTAAGAACAGAACAAAACATTTGGGGACACACTTTAGTCTACATGTGCTTAATACCAGTGTAAATTGTATCTGTGATGTTAAAACAAAAAGAACTGTAGTGGCCTTCAGAATCTACTGTGTTTCAATCCTTAAAAGTGTTTAATTTTATGGACAGGTGGTCACAATACCAGGTGGTCACTTCACTAACTGGTTTGACTACAACGATGTGTTCACTGCCTACAGCCCAGGCAGAGTCTTCAGGCTACACTGGTCACTCCTGCACAAAAGTGTTTGCATTATGCTGCAGCTTCTGATGTACATTCGAGTGTCATGTGGAATGTGTGAGACAGACGTGTTTACCCAGAATTCTCGCCTGTCCGCAGCCTGAGGGACATAGCTTCAGCATCCGGCTTCAAAACTTTGTGAAAAA